GACGGATATTTCCAGCCATAATCTGCTGTGCAAATGCTGTTTATTATATTTCTTACTGTGTTATGAAATATCACAGCTTTGTTAACAATACTGTAGATGTTTAAAGTTCCTGATATCTGTGACTCTGAACTAAAAGGTAGAAATGTGAAAGTTTTATTCTGACTCTGTTGCTCGTAATAATTTAATGTGGCCGCTAATGTATACACGTGTACACATACTGTATGTCAAAGATGGACGTGGCTAACCAGAGGGGGTGAGGGGCAACTCCCCCCTCCCCATCTATACTTCTCTCCCTTTCCTTCAGTAGTTTTTGAGCTGTTCAACATGGCAAACAACAATCAAATTAGAAACTGCTGTTAACTTTCAGCACTCACAATCCGCGACAATAGAACTTACCCTGCTTTGGGAGGACGATCCCATTCTTTTTAAAGATTTTTATTACATCACTAAGGTATTTGAGAGTAAAACCTATCATTAAACAATTAAACAAAACAGAAATGCACCGTATTCAGAGTCTCAGGAGACTCAGAAAAATCCTAGAAATATTCCTGCTGTGTGTCAAACACACTGATATCAGATTTCCTTACAAGAGTGAGCTGTGCAGCTTCTTCTTTCTACTTGTTAGCAGCTACACACTGCTGTTGTGATATCCTGCAGTTATTCTACCTTTTTTCTTTTTTTTTGATTTACTAGTGGTTGTGAAGCTGCTGCGACAGGCTGATATAGAGGAGCTTTAAAACTGCTGATCTCAGTAAATCCAAGTTTTCTTCTTGCTTGTGTGGATATTTGCAGACCTGGGCAAAAGTGGACTCCGGGCTTGACATAATCAAAGCGGACTATTTTCCTAGGAGAATCTACTGTAGAGGAACATTTATTAAACTGACAGCATTTTGTGCTGTTGAAATTTGGGATTACTTCATATTTTTAGCTTGTTTGTCCAGTTTCAAAGCACCAAGGTGGTGATGGCCAAAATAGAGTTTCAAAAAGAAACCAAATGGCTGATGTCACAATGCCTGTGCATCTTTTTATACAGTCTGTGTGTACATATATGTTTATGTGAGCTTCTTTATGCCCGGTAAAACGTAACCGTGACGTTCTGTCTCAGGAACAGAATTAACTCTAAATCGAGAGATCCAAGCTGCACGTGGTACTCTGTGTCAGTGAGCAGGTGGGCGATAGCATTTATGTCAATGTCACAGCATTTTGTTTTGTCTCACTCAGCAGTGACGAGGAAGAGGAGGCTGATGGTCTTGAGATCCTTATGGAAGCTCCAGAAGGATTTAGGAACTCTGATGAAGATCGTTTCTCTGAATCACAGGTAAACAGACTATAATGTTCTTTAATGCTCTGCGATTGATTAAGGTGTGGCGATGTGAGACGTTACATCTGTGATTGTAGCTCGTTAACAGCAGCATTACTATTTATTGCACAGTTTTCTTATAAAAATGCAGTGTTTTATAGTTGCTGTGGTCCATCCCACTTTAACTCTGGAACTGTGTGTGTGTCATCTGTCATACCAAGTCTGTTTCTAGGTAGTGTGCAGAATGTTGTTTGCACAGTGACAATAAAGGAATTTGACCTTGTAGCGTAAGAGTAGAATTTTGGGACATAATTATTCACACTGTGTGTTCAGCGTAAAGCCTCAATCATACTTTCTGTGTTTGTGAATCTGAGTTGAGTGACATAAATTTTATCATCTCACATGGGGTGTTGCATGTTTGCTTTTTGTGATCATATTGACGTGTCCATGGAGAATACACCACTAAAGAGAGGAGCCGAAAGAAGCGTATCAGAGTGCAGGGGGTGTAGCAATCCTTAACGTGTTTTAGTGCACACAGTTCATAATCTAAGAGGGTCGGTGCATATTGTAAATGCATGATGCATATATACATTCATGTTTTATGATCACCATCTGATGTAGGTAAACTGAATCTATAAGGTGCTGCACCGTGCTGCCTTTACAAATGAAGAATTGTGTTTTATTTTTCAGGAGTCGAGCGTGGGTGACGCGCAGGATTTGGGTCATATAGAAATTTCTGAGGGTAAGGAAGAGGAGCACGGCGAGGGAGGCGAGGATGACGGTGAGGAGTCAGTCAGTAAACACAGGTGGTAGTTCTTCAAACTGCAGGTGTGAGAGGTTTAATTTTCCCTCTTTTTAATCTCACAGGAAAGGATCAGGAAGAGGGTTGTTCTAGTCCCAGCCAGGTGGACCTACCTGACTTCGAGTGAGACCACGGATCCACACTTAAACCATTTCTCCCACTCTGGTGCCATCTGTGTCCCTCTTACACTGCAGGATTGGAGGCCTTGAGGATGTTCCACTTACTGCTCAGACAAACAGGCTCCTCCCAATCACGGTGGAGTTTGTGCACATATTCGCCTTGTTCTCACCAGGAATGATAAACCTCGAGGTTTCTATACCTCAGTCGTGACTGTAAACACACACACACATACACACACACACTTCCTCCTCTTCGTCCTCTGACAGTAATCATACTTTGAACGCAGACTTTATCATGTGCTCTGGGTTAAAGTGGGACCCCACTTAAGTTTACACTTTCATAAACTGCTCCTGTCATGTGGAAAAAAAAACATTTCAGGAACAGCTTAAAAAGCGGCCTTTTTTGTTTTTTTAAGTGATCTAATCATTTTCAGGTGGTTTTATAATTTCAAGTTGATGTTTTTCAAGCTACAGAGACGCATACAATCAGCTACCAAGATGCATTATAGTGACTTCAGAAAAAAAAAAAGAGTATTTGTGGATATGGAAGAACTACCGAGGTATTGATTTTCAGTGTTAACTCTCTGCACAGCCCGGAGCTCTTTTGCGAGAGGACAGGGCTTCATGAGCATGTGATGTTTGTCTGAAGACATGAAGTCATTTCCAAAGCAGCAATGTACCCTGAAAGTGAGAATTTTAGGCTTTCAGAGACGGTTAATGTTTAGAAACACACTCGGAGTGAATTTAAAGGTCAAAGTCGTACCAGCGCCTAAGCTGTTATTAGAAATGAACACTTGAAGGATAGCAGAAGTGCGAAACTGTATTTAAACCTGCATGTGTAGCTGCCTCACACACATACATACACACACACTGCCAGCATGTCTGCATTACAAAGCTCAGCTGATCAGTTTAGGTGTGTAAGCTATGCTCCGCTCTGAGAAAGCCATCCGGTCTGTGACTGTGTCAAAAAAAAAAAAGAAGAAAAAAAAAGCCGCCTCACGGGGGCGATATAGTCCGTCATGCTTTACATGTTTCTTTAACAGCCTCGTCATTCAGAAAGTGCCTCAAGCGACGTTTAGGTTTTAAATGCCACGACAGGAGAGATCAGGCAAAGAGAACAGTGTTTATTTTCTGAATTACTTTGAGAGTGTGCACAATAAGAGATATTTACTGTTTCATATAAAGAATTGTATATGTCTTGAAATGTCGAAATGTTTATGTTCAGAAATGTTTAAACTTTATAAAGGTTTCTTTAAAATTAACACGTGCTGCTGTGTTGAATGAATCAACTTTAGTCTCGCATGTCATCACGAATGTGAAAGTATTTTATGTCCCCAAAATAACAGGAAAATGTACAGATGTCTGTAAAGGTGAGACTTGGTTACCTCTTAACTAGATACCGCTCAGTCATGGTTATATGAGCAGCCTCCCACCAAAGGCTTAAAGTGACCAAAGTGGGATTGTTTATAGATATTTATACTTCCTGTTGTTGCATTTTTACTTTTAAAATTGTTTCTTACTACAAACTCACCAGCTACTTTATAAGTACACCTGTTCAGCTGCTTAACACAAGTATCTAATCAGCCAGTCACATAGCAGCAACTCAAATGTATTTAGGCAGGTACACATGACGTTTAAACTGAGCATCAGAATGGAGAGAAAAGGTGATTTAAGTGATGTTGAACATGCTGGTCTACTGGGATTTTCCCACACAACCATCTCTAGAGTTTACAGAGAGTCGGTCAAAATATAGAAAATATCCAAAGGGTGAAAATTCCTTTTTGAACACCACACTGAACCTTAAAGCAGAAGATCACACAGGCTCACCAAAACTGGACAGTAGAAGGTTGGAAAAACTTTGTCTGGTCTGACGAGTCAACAGTTCAGACTGTTGGTGGTATAAAAGGTGTGGGAGATGTGCTCTTGGCACACTTTGAGCCGTTAATACCCACTGACTGTCATTTAAACACTGCAGACTGACCAAGTATTATTGCTGACCATCTCCACTTGACACATTTTTCTTACACTCGGGTTTTAATTTGATTGTAAATTATTCCCTGTCTGCTCTCTTCAAACACAGAGCAACATTATTAACTGACACAGAAGTCTCAAGGCAGAAACTCGATGCCCTCAGTGGTGATGAAAACGGCTCATTTGACAGAGACTGGTTATGGTTACTAAAACTGTTGGGTTGTGTGAGGGTTAAGCTTGGCAAAAGTCTCAAATAAAGAGGTCAGTGTGTGTTTGTGTAATTCCTGTGAGCCAACAGCCTCAGCTTTTCTCAGCCTTCTGTTTGTGAGCTACAACCAATCAGAAGCGTGGAGGTAAAGTATAAAGAGGAAAAATGGGTGAGATGTGCACAAAGGTCTGGTAAAAGATAAATAAAGATTATTTTTTTAACTCTGAGTCATGCAAAGCTACTCTCCCAAAATTCAGGGACAAAAATCTGGAGCTTGAAAAAAAAGAACAACAGGTAGCAATAACTAGACGATGTATTCTTATCAGAAACTAAATATCAAAGCTCGCTGAGTCACTGTAAGAAATGTCGATATTTTATTTGTTGAAATGTTCAGCGGGATAAGTCAACAGAAAAAAACATCTGTTATAAAAACCACCGTGTTAAATCTAACTACCTAATAACACTGCAACACACAAAATATAAAAATCAGTGCTTTAGGAATTTAAAATTTGTATTTCTTTGTGAGGCTGAAAACCACAGAAACCTCAACAGGTCCATAAAGATGATAAACCCCCCCCCC